TTGATTATTCTTTTAGTTGTTTTCCACGTTCCTGGATCATTGGTCGGATTTCTGATTAACTTATTGTAAGAATCTATTCGATGTTGGTTCAATTCGTCAGTGATTTGTTGTGTTAACTAGTTCAGCTTGTGAACAGAAATGAACTGTAATTGCTATAGTTTGAAGTGATTTTGTTTCGGTTAAGATGTAATCCGAATGCACCAGATGGTTTTTAATGAAGATAGCAACTCCACCAGCAGCTGTTCTTGATTGGCGATCTTTACTATATATAGTATAACCACCTATTGAAAACATTTCTCGATCTGCTAATGGGTGTCTGATACATGCAATATCTATGTTATATCTTGCTAAAAATGCAACCAATATGTTTTTTTGTATCTTGATTGCATTAACGTTAAAGTTTAATATATTGATGTCATTCAATGATCGGGTTAATTCAGGCATTGAAAATATTGGGAATTAATTCATTGATAACAAAGGACTTTAATTCACTAATTTGTGGTGTAATGAGTTTTTTTTTGAAATTCAGGATGATATCAGATAAGTTGATGGGATCGGGAAGGTTATTCAATTTGTTGTGACTAGTTGTTTCTTTGGAGTTTAAGTGGCAGGAATTGGAAGAGGGAAGCTGCGCTTTGGCAGTGGCTGCTGCGTAAGAAGGATAGGTAGTATAAGAAGAGTATTCATTGCTACGTTCGTGCACGTTATTGATGTTTGAGTTTTGTTGACGTCGATTATTATACCGGTGGAGTTGATCTTGTAATACTTTGTGAGTTTTACAATCTCTGTAATTCGAGCTGTAATGCGCATTTTGGGGGATCTCAAGATTTCTTTTTTACATTCATTATATAAATGTTCTTCGCCGCATTTGACACATCTTGGTCTTAGAGCGCAATAGTTTTTGGTGTGTGCATATCTCTGGCAGTTATGACATTGCAGAGTATGAGTTGACCTTTTACGAGGTTCTCTAGTAACAATTGCTTTGGCTATTTCATTAATAATAAAAATTTCTTTTGATTTCTGAGTGGCTGTCAGTTCTACCGCACATATATATAACTATAAATAATACCCAATGCCCTGGGTATTTATTTTTATTCATAAGTCTGGTTACTTTTATGATAGGTAGTTTTTTTAATTTTTAATTCATCCTTTATTTCATCATCAGTTAAGGAAATGGATACGTTTCTAATTCTACTGCTAATGGTCTATTGTTCTGGTCTTGAAAAGTGTGATATTTAACTTTATTTTCTCTGTAGTTCTTTGTTAACGTTCTATAATCATTTAAATCAGTTAAGTTGAGGTAGGTATTTTTATATGTGATAGTAAAAGGTTCAGTTATTAGCGCTTTTATATTATTTATGATTTCCCTATGGTTTGTAGCGTTACGTAAAAATATTGGTGGAATTTTTTGTTTACTGGTTTTCGTCTCAACTCCGCTATTATTATTTTTATTACTATTAATATTATTATTGTCAGTTTTTGGATCTTTTTCGCCTTTATTGCTGTCTGGTATTAACATATCAATAGAATTATTTAATTCATTATTTGTTGACAACGGATAATATGGATTTTTAAAGAAAAATGCCGAGTTTTTAAACGTGAGACATATTTTTTCTGTTAGTTGGAACATTAAAATTCATCGTCTAAATTTACTAAGTGATAATTCTGATGTTGGAAAACAACACGGCTCTCTCAAAATTGCGTTTTTTACCTTGAGTGGACCGCCAATGTTTTTTCATTGTTAATGTTAAATTATCATTTTTATGGATATAAGTTGTGATAAACTGGTTTTAACGTGTCTTTCATTGAAAGAAGCCAGAGGAGTTGGAAAAGTAACAGCTGCTGAACGTGATGAGCACCATGGCTTTGGCAGTCAATGATAGCGGGAAATTATTGCCACCTTTCCCTTGTTTAAAAAATTTAGAACACCTCAAGGTATCATGGATGATGGTACTCTTGGTGCGGTTGGATTTTCCAATGGATCGATCTGGTTGGATGATGCAGGTTGAATTTTTTAAATTTATGAAGCACTGTATTCATCACTCCAAGTCATCAAAAGAATCTCATACTCTTCTCCTGCTCGATAATGATTCGTCGTATCTATTAGTTGAAGTCATTGACGAAGTAGAACGGTGTGAGAGAAGTTCTTCACATCCAAACATTGTGATACTACAACTATGATTATGATATTGATACTGACTTTTGCTATTCTTTATCTTTTTTATCTATTTATACACTCAAGATTACAATTTGACTTTTTTAGCAAGATAGAAATTTCTTTGTGCCAAATAACAAATTAAAGATATCATACCATAAAAAGTTATATAGTCCACAAAAAGTTATTTCGAACTTTTCCTTAAGCGGTCGACTCAAGGTGACATTACCCCATGTTTTTATACTTATTTGAAGTAGAATGAAGTTATAGTTGAATTAATGGCCGAGCATTTGTTTACAATATACATTACGTTTAAATTCAAACTGCGAATATTTCGGGGTTACTTAAACGATGCATAATTAACAAAAATAATAAAATCTTTGTAATATAGCAGTTACGGCTATTTAAAAATTTGTTAAAACGCTCAAAAACTTTTGTTGAGAACCGCTGATACCACGTTTTTATTGCTGCCAATCCAGTTGACTTGGTTACTTAGCAGCGGACATGTCATTTAACAGTTCATAAACAATGTAATTTAACGACAAAATTAGAACTATTACAAATCAAAGAGTACAATGGCACTTTACAATAACGAGGATTACGTAGATGTGCTTATTGCTTATGCAGCTGCTGGAGAAAACGCTGCACATACAAGAGATCTGTATTTGAAACGATTTCCAAATCGCCAGATGCCTTCAGAAAACAATTTTCTTCGGTTAGTCCAGCAGGAAAGAGAGACAACCTAAGAAAGGTCTTGGTGGAAGTTCAAGATCAATATAGTCAATCCATCTATGACAGACTCTCTAGACAGATGAAACTGGCTGTTATAGATAAACAAAAACAAAAAATGTTGAAATAGATCAAACTTTAATTAAAATGATTGTTACTGATTACCAGCCTTAATCAATTGTAAAAAATCTTGGTTTTTTGGAATACTCTAAAAAGTTGCAGCCACTATACTGATTTTTTGTATTTTGTGTGTCATTTTTTTAATAATGTACCTAATCCTCATTAACCATGCTACTATAGAAGTCACAAATCAATCAATAAATGTCGTTAGTTTTGCGAAAAAATGTATATCTATTAAGTTTGACACGCGATTTCTAAAAAAAAGGAGTGGTACAACACTCTTGGCAAGTAATTTTAAAAAATGGCCTCTTTAGTCAAGATTACAAAATAATAATAATAATAAATCCTTTATTTTCAACCATACAATACATTATTATCAAGAAAAAATATATATACATATTTATATCAATAAAAAGCAGAATTAAAACAAAATAAATGTATGGCAGAAAAAAGGTGCTGGGTTCAAATTGCCACAAAAGTGGTATTTGTTCTACCACCCAATCCTATTACAAAAGAACACAAAAATTGGAACAAAAAACAAACAATAAAAAAAATATATATACAGGGTGATTTATAACATACGGAGCAGACTAGAGGTAAAACTGAAGAGATTTTCTTAATGTATTGTTAAAAACTTAATAATTACATAGATATCGCATGTTAATTTTTTAAATAATTTAATGTCCATTTTTGAGTACCGCTGATATTTAGTAAAGAACAATTAAAATACATGGCAACGCCATCCTCATTTTTGAAGGAGCTGTAAAACTAGACAATTTATTATTTCAGCAGTTTTGTTATTTTAGATAATACGTCATTTGTTAAAAGAAATGATAGATGTTAATTTATGAAACGTCTAATAATAATGTTTTAAATGCAAAATTACAAAATCTCTAAAACAATTATTTAGCTACTCTAGATTCAGCCGCAAAGAATAGTCTCATAAATTTCAAATTCAAACGTTTTTTTATTAAAATATTTTACAGAATGAATTTTAATAATGTAATAAAACTTGTTTCGAGTTTTTAGATAAATATTTAGGATTCTAATTGGCTATAATAGATAATGTATAAAATTTTTCAGTTTAATTCAGCAGTATAAAATGTCGAAAGTAGTAGGTTTCTATCTCTTAGAAGTATATTTTCAAAAGTATCAGTGTTGGCCCATTTCACATGGTCTTCGAGGATTCGGCCCGATAATCTTGATTAGTATAAATGCGTTGTTGATGATTTATCCATTGCTAATGGAAATTCAAAGTGGGTATTATCTAAATAATGTAATAGCATAGAAGAGAAATATATTTATTGCCGTTTTAATTATTTCAGATTACAAGAAGAATTTTGACTTGTTTTTATTTCGTATGCAGTTTGTTTCGCCTGGATTATTACTTATAATTTGTAACATTCTACTTCATCGTCATCGACGTCATTTATTCGAAGTGATAAATTTATTGAGTGACTTTAATAAATTTGGTATTCCAACAAAAACTAAATTTACTGACAAAATTTTGAAAATTTCATTAAAAGTGATTTATCATGGAGGATTTCTTATTACGTTTCTTATATCGCACATTTTTATGTGGAATGAGAAATGTAAAAACTTTAAGAGTACTAAGCACTGTTTAATACTGGATTATTGGTTTCCATTTCATTTGGAGCATTGGGAAATAACATTAATGATTTTATTTCAAATGTACACTATGGAGTTTACACTCAATGTTTTGCTGTTTCTAGTTTTATTAGCTTGGTATGTGCAAGAAAATATGGTTTTACGGACAGAAAACCTGAAGCAGATGGTTGATAACATAAATTTGACAAGAAATAGAAAAAGAAATTTTAATATTTTGCGTAATATTGTCTTGTATCATCAACATATGTGCAGGTATTGTAAAGTCTCATTAATCCATTTCACATTGTTCCTCATTTAAGTGCATTATTATTTTAGAATGCATGAAGTCTGTGCAAACTTCTTTACTACATTTCTAGTACCCACAAAAATGCTTCTTTTTATTTCTTTAACCATATCTACAACTGAATTTGTTTTGGTACGAATTTGAATTTAATATTAGTATATCAATTAAATGATGTAAAATTTTAAGCAAAAGGATATTGTAAGTTTTTCCCTTATCGCACTGGCCTTCTTATCGTTATTTATAGTACACACAATTGGACAAAAGTGTACTACAGTGGTATGAGGGAGTAGTTGTATAAAAAAATAGCACTAAATTATTTTCTTAATAGGCTGGCACTGTGGCGGAAGGTATTTATGATCTGAATTGGTATGATGCAGATATTTCAACACGTAGAGACATTTTAAACTTGTTGTGCTTAACCCAAAAGGTAATAGTTCTAAAATTACCGTTATTCGGTGAATTGTCTCATGCATCAGCGGCAAAAGTAAGTAAATTGTAGTTATAACCTACAAATAGTAAAATGAGCGACATTTTTAAGGAATACAAGGCTGTTTATGTTTTCTACAATTGGGTATTGACAATCATGAAGAAAAAATACATTTAAATATTATTAGACTATGGATTTATAGAGTTTCTTTTAGACTTTATTAGACTTAATAACTCATAAATAACTCAAAAATGCACTGAAATTATTAATCACTTTGAGAATGTATTAGTAAAATTTAATCAAATTTTTAAATTATTAAAATAACGTAAATTAATAAATAAATGTTCAATTGAATTTAATTAGTATAACTTTACGTTATTTGTAAATTGGATGTAACAAAATAATCAAATTGTAACTTGTAAAACAAATTGTAAGCTTACTATAAAGTTAAATTGTATGTTTTAATATAAAATAAAGCATAAGCAAACCAGTAAAAAGAGTTTAATTTCCCTAACCTCTCTGTCCGTTAAGGAACTATATAAAATTGATGTCAAATTATATCAAATTAAATCTTCAACATTTGCAGCAAGAACTCGGAGAGTTGCAACATTAGATGCAGTTAACGTGGGACAGAGTGAGCAATACAGAAAACTGACTCTGTCAAAGAAGAAATCATAGTTGCAGATAAAGTTTGCTTGATAAAGAAGCTGTTCCAACATTCTGGAAGATTGTGGAGATAATTATGTTATCCAAACTAGGAAAACATCCAAACGAGACCAACTGAAAACCATTTCTGGAACATTGAACACCAGTACTAGAAGCAAATAGAGTGATACCAGCCCACCAATTTGGTTTTGGAAATAAGCATATTTTTTTTTTTCTGTATTATGCATAGCACAATTGCATAACACATGTAACATAACACAGTAGATACATACATACTAATTAGTTACTTATTTTTAACACTAAATTAAACTAGATAATGTTTTACAGCTTTTCCCAGTCCAGTCTTCTTTACCCATAATAATAAATAAATATTGTCATATTTTTACCGTTTTAAGACCAAAACACAAAAACGCGCACACTGCGATACGCGGAACACACGTATTGGGTATTATTGTTTTTGTTATAATTCCGCACTATTGCTCGCGTTTGAATCGGCTAGGGCACTAGGTCACTAAATCGAACGGCTTCATCCTCTGAAGGCGACGCAGGACATCCTCGTTGTCGAGAAGCTGGATGGCCTCGATGTTGGGATGATCGTGCATTCTCTTCTCATGTTTACATGCGAATGATGCAATTTCTGATGACACCGATGCTACTTTCAAGTCGCGATGGAGGTCGGTGTTTCTTATATACCAGGGTGCATTCACTATGCACCTTAGTACTTTGTTCTGGAATCTTTGAATCAGACTTGCATTTGTCTTGCAGGTACAACCCCACAGTTGGATTCCGTATGTCCATTTTGGTTTTAATACTTGCTTGTATATTAGCAACTTGTTTCTTAGTGATAGCGTTGATTTTCTGCCAATAAGCCAATATAGGTGTCTAAATTTGATATCAAGTTCCTCACGTTTTTTTTTGACGTGAGCTTTCCATTTGAGTTTGGCATCCAGCGTCATACCAAGATATTTTGCGGTGTCGGCGTAAGGGACTGCATTGCCATTTATGTGTACTGGGACATAGTTTACTTTCTTATAAGTAAAGTTTATGTATGTCGATTTATTTGTATTTAGTTTTATTAGCCATCGTTTGGTCCAGTTTTCTATTGAATTTAATGCCAATTGTAACTTATTTGCTGCAACTACTTCATTTTCTGCAACAGCCAAGATCGCTGTGTCGTCTGCGAATGTAGCTGTTAAAGTTTCTGGTACCTGAGGAAGGTCGAATGTGTAGAGTAAGTACAATGTTGGGCCAAGCACACTTCCTTGAGGAACTCCGGCTCGTATTTCATGTATTGGTGAATAAGCGTTTTCGTATTTTACTCTAAAATATCGATCAGAAAGATACGATTTTAATAGTTGACTATACGTTGATGGTAGTATTTGGTCTAGTTTGTAATTTAAACCATCTAACCAGACTTTGTCGAAAGCTTGTGCAACATCCAAAAATACGGCGGAGCAGACTTTATTTTCTTCCATTGCTATTTCGATAGTATTCGTTATTCTATGCACTTGGTCTATTGTTGCATGTTTATTCCGAAACCCAAATTGATGTGTTGGTATTAGGGCTTTTTCTTCTATGACAGGTTTTAGTCTTTTTAATAGTAATTTTTCAAGCAGTTTTGATAGTAAGGGTAATAATGAGATTGGCCTATATGATGTAACATCTGTGGGGGGTTTACCAGGTTTTGGTATCATTATTATTTCAGCAACTTTCCATATGCTTGGGAAGTATTTCTGTTTAAAAGCAGCATTAATTATGTGTAATAGTTTTGTAATCGCCCGTTTTGGTAGATGTTTCAATGTTTCTCCATTAATTAGGTCATAGCCTACTGATTTCTTTATATTTAGTTTTTGTATTTCATAATACAGTTCTTTCATTCTTACACATGGTATATTACTCTGCTGATCACTTTGAATTACGCTAGGGACACTATTTAGCATAGTTGTTGGACTGTCTGATGTAAAAGTTTCTTTCAGATGTTCAGCAAACAAATTAACTTTTTCTTGATTGCTCTTAGCCCAATTTCCATTATTATTTCGAATTGGAGGTGTATGTGTTTTTGGAACTTTAAGCTTTCTTGTTGCCTTCCACAGAGAATAATTAGTACTGGCATCGTCAGTAAGGTCTTTTAAGTACTTTTGAATATTATTTTCTTTGTGGCTATCTGTTAATGCTCTTAATTCGGCTGTTATTTTATTTAATTTAGTTTTATCACTAGGAATTCTATTGGTTTGCCATTTCTTTCTTGCTTTCCGTTTTTCTGCAATTTTGTCTCTAATGAATTTAGGATAAATATTAGATTTAGGTTTTGGTGTTAAAATTGGTGTTGAGGCCCAAGCTGCGTTTTGTATGTCTTTTAAGAACTTTTCTACTTCATTGTCAATGTCTTCGTTTGTTTTCATAAGAGCATTAAGATGAATTTTATTATCTAATGTTAGTTGAAATAGATTCCAATTAGTGAGTTTATTAGTTAGTGATAACAAGGGTTCTTTGTTACATACTTTGTTATTTAGCGTAATAATTACTGGTGAGTGATCTGAGTCCAGCCCTAGCTCTTCTTCTATGTTTACGAAGTTAAGCGAAATATTTTTCGTAATAAAAAAATCAAGCAGGTCTGGAATTTTACTTTTATCTGTTGGCCAGTAAGTTGGCTTCCCAGTGGAGAGCACCTCACAATTTAGGGCCTCTATTGCATGGTTCAGTTCTCTTCCCTTTGTATTTGTCAAGCGAGAACCCCAAGACATATGTTTTGCATTAAAGTCTCCTCCAAATAAAAATTTGTTGTCGAGATGTAGTAGAATTTCCTGATAATATTCTCTTTTGAGATTATGTCTCGGTGGTATGTACGTTGCTCCTACAAATATTAAGCCATTAGCAGTTTGAACTTTTACCACTGTAGTTTGATGTTGTTCAGTACTAATTGAATTGTTCAAATAGTGGTCAACATTCCTTTTAACAATAATTGCACTTCCACCTCGAGCCGCATTACTCGGGTGAATTGTGTGGTAAGTATTGTAATGGTTGATGTTTATATACGATTCTCGTGTAAAATGAGTTTCGGAGATAAGACATATATCAATATTGTTTTCTTTAAGTATTATTGGTAGTGTGTTTTGATTCTGTCGAAGACCATTGGAATTCCACAACATTATCTTTAGTTGCTGCTTTCTGGACATTTTGATTTCTTTTTTGAATCGGTCCTTGGTTTAAATTGCTTTCAATGAAATCTAGACGAGTATATAAAGTTTTTATTATTTCTTCTTGTTGAAGTATTTTTTCTAGTATTAGATCTAATTTACTGTCAGCTTTCTTATCGGTTAATGTACTTACAGTTTTCTCTGTAGTTTCACCACTTGCTTTTTCGGCATACGAGACGCCTGGCTTTATTTTATTTGAATTTACTGTTTTCTTATTTCTGATGGCTTGTAGTTCCTTAATCACAAATCTCTTCGATTTTGACACGCATTCCTAATATATTTGTTATTTCATGGATTTTTTTTACATCCTCTAACGGTGCAAAATCCAAGATGTATAAAGGAAGAGGCTCTTTTATTTTGTATTTTAACATTTGGGTTACATTACAAATGTTATACTTGCGTTCCAATAGATCATCTTTGATATCATTAACATCACAGCTTTTATGCATCTTTTTAGCGACTACTTTCAGATTTCTGGTTTGCTTATTTTCGTAAGTTGACCAGAACAAATTCTTTTCAGTAAGCATCTTTGATGCTTCTCTGTACTTTTCTTCCGAATTAAGATTCAGTTTTACTGTGCCGTTATTTAACGCATGTGTTAAAAATCCATCTTTAATTACGCTTTTAAGTAATTTATAAATGTCATCATATTGTTTGACGTTATAAATTAATATTGGTGGGGGTAGTAATACCCTTGTTTTGTTTTTTACGCCAGATTGTACGGGTTGCTTTTCAGGTTTGCTTTCAATTTCCGAAGACAGTTTAGAGGGCGAGGTTTCAGTTTTACGTTTTTTGTTTCTTTTAGCTTGTTTTATTACCCAGTCAGTCTCCAAAGCTAACTCATCTTCGTCTGTGGTATACACCACTTTGTTGGTTACTGGAGGGTTAAGATTTTGTTGGGTTTTTAGACCTTCTATAATGCCCCTCAGATCATCTATTTGTTTCTGAAGAGTAGCTTCATCTTTAGTGCGTTGCTCCTTTATTTGTTCGATTTCTTTTGTAAGTTCGGCGGAACGTGTTCTTTCTTTTTTAAGGGAATTTAACAGGGAGAATTCCATATCCGTTTTTGGAGTAAACTTTTCCATGTTATTGACCCACTTAATTGTTTGTTTTTATTTCACACACATTATTGCACATTACGCGCATTCCGATTTACTTACTTCGTAATAACAGCAATTACGAATTGCTGAATTGTTATTTATTGTTACAAATCGCGTGTATGATTTATATTATTAATATGTTTATTTTATCAATATCAATTATACTGTTTACACTATTTTACATTATTTATATTTGCTTTATAAACGATTTATAAAGCGTAAAATAAAACACTTGACGCACGATCGCAAAACACATCCGCTCTTTAGCGATGCACAAATCGAACTGAAAATAAG